GCGTGTAGTGTATGCGTGTGTTTTTTGGGAGGCTGCGATATGTTTGTGTTTGTCTCCTTGTGATAGCGCGGAACTGATGCCGATTTTATAGTGCTACCTCACTGAAACATCCAACCGGGTTACATTATACTGACAACGGGCAAACCAGTCGTCCCACTCCTAAATTGCTGAGCGTTGAGCAGGAGTAAAAACTATCATTGTTACAGACTCTGGAATGTCTCGGCCAGGGGACAGAACCCATGCAAGCCTTCCTCACAGGGGCGAACGCTCAACTAAAGGCCAAACGTGAGGCATTGTCAATGGAGACATAAGGAAGAAGAAAGTTATTTAGAAAGAAGTGAAAATATAAGATCCCAAATTCAGTCGCCTCTTACGATCATACAATGGGGGCAGCAGGTACAATTCTTACGCCCTACCTGCAGGGACAAGTTTATTTGACAAGTGTATCTAGTCAAAACCACCATATTCCAGTTTCTTTAAGACATTTTGACAGATAGATGTTTGGTGTCTAAGTCTGATGTCAGGGCCAGAAGGAAAATCAGGCTACATTTTCTACATATCTTTGGGAGTCGATCGCCGGACGTGCAAATCACGTGCAGGCGATTGCAACTGATTTTTTGTAACATTTTCATCGCGTCGCGTTACGTTGTTGCAGGGAATTGCAGACGGAAAATTGCTTTTTCATACGGAAACAATCGATGCATATGAGAAGTACCTACTTCACAATCGCGACTAAATGTGCAAAAAAAAAATGTGTCGCAAAAACACACACAATAATTCTCCTCTCGAGCATCCAGACCTCGTAACAAAACGGATTTCAGAAGAAAAAACGTCTTTATTGCGCAATTGGAACGTAGCATTTACCTCAATTTTGATCGATGACAAAAAAGTAAAAGCCTTTCTCTAATTTGACTTTCCCTCAGGCGTTTGGCTTTCTATTCTGGCCCCGATTGTTTACGTGTGTTCAATTTTCTGTTTGACTGTCTTTACGATCCCATGAGTTGATTGAACAATGTCCAGTCTTCTGTATATCATAGCTGTGCTGATATTTTAAACTAGTAAAAAACCTCAGTGTCGGCACAAATATCTTAGCACGTTGTTGACAAGTAAATTGGTCTACCTTATACATGTACAGTCGTTTTAAAATTGATTTTGAAAATAAAATGTTTTACCTACCTAATATATAGCTGAAGTAACAACATAACGCAAACTCTTCATCTTGTAAAATGTCGAATATCTTTAAAATTCAAAACATAATTGGTTAATATAGGGATTAAAAACGAACATTTATAGACAAGAAATACAAAAACATTCGATAATTTTCAGACAATTATCAAAGGTCACATTTTTAAAATTTCTGTTATTGATTCGCCAGGTTAAACAGTCTTTGAAATATGCATCACCTACTTTCACTCAATTGGTCGATTCGTCCCAGAAAAATAATGAAGCACATCATATACAAATCATAGATGCGAAAAATAACACTGACAAAGTATAAGAGATTTTTGTAAATTGAGAAATAAAGGTATATGCTACTTTACTTAGCCATGCATCTCAACGTAGCCTTCATGTGTGTAAAGAAAGAACTCAAGAATGATTGAATTTACTAAGATTCAGGTACCGTTGTAATTCATGAACATTTCCTTTCAAAGGGAGATAATTCGAACACATTTTCTGTGAGGTGCATCCTAAATACGTGCCCTTATCTTCTCTATATTTTTTTCTCAAATAATGTCACAGAAAAACCAAGAAATTATTTACTTGGCCTTGGAAACTATAAACTTGATAATAATACTCTCGTGTGTTTAATTGTGTCTCTGATGCGCCCCAGCCTCCAGTAATTATTAGCAGCCTTGAATACAACATGGCAGAAGCTGAACGTCATCCAGTAATCTGTTTCACTAATTGTAAATGATAAAAATAATTTTCCTCGTAACCGTTGTACATATGTTTTGGCAAGCAACACGTTCCCTGGAATGCTGGGACTCCAAATGTGTTATTACGAAGCCACACATTTGACTAATTATTTCAAAGCCGGAACTGAGAGGATTCGGGAAGGACTTGATTCAAGAGGCCCATGGGTCGGAATACCTGTTATTCCTTTCCAATTCAGTTATAAGATCAAAAGCCGAGTGCAAATCAAAAAAGAATACTGTAAATGTGCTTATTCACGTTAAAGCATATCAGAAAAGTGTATGTTTAAATAAATACCCATATTCTTCATATACGAAGTTGAATTATATCTTGGCCAAAGGATTTATTACTTTCAAAATTTCAAAATGCCTTTAAAAATTTTCATAGGTCTTCCACATGTTTTGTATATCAACATAGTGCTTGGTCCAGGGATGTCTCATTCTATATTTAATTATGACGGGATTCATGGCATGTGTACATGTAACCAGTTTGCGTTCACCCGATATGGACATACATCTGCTGTTGGCTAGCTAGGACTTCCCGACTTTATAAAGGAGGGTTGAACGATGGAATAGCCGATGACAGACGCAAGCTATACTAAGTGAATTCACACTGCACGGGACAGCTCTAGGGAGTAGGTTATGTCTGAGCTACGTAATTGAAACAGAAGTTTGAGGCACCCCAAGCCCAAACGAAAAGCTGGCTATCTCAATGCTAGCGGCATTGTAATTGAGGTTTCACTTCATACACAATGTAGATATGCGGTCGGTGCGGATATTTTGTTTTTCGCCCGCATCACAATAAAATAATAAAATACATGAACTGATTGACTTACCAGGATGATTCATAAAAGGATTGGCTAGCTCCGGGGCGTCATTTCAGATCTAAAACGGATTTATTTTTTTAAATGTCAGCTCATGAATCGTGAATATGGCTGGGTTTGGGTTGAACTTTTCGATCTATTGAAAAGAAGAACCAAGTAGGAACACATGGGACTTGGTATGATTGCATGATCAGCAAATTGATGAACGGAACTTTCACATCAAAAGAGAACAAAACAAATATCACATCAGGCCCCTGTATTTATTAAAGACATTTCAACGTTCGCATACACCCCCCCCCCCCCCCCCCCCCCCCNCTTGAAATACATGGACGTGTTTAGCCTCCAATCATATGTTACAAGTTCCAGCATCTAGTGCTGACGATCATAAGTTTCAGTTATTGAATTACAAAGTTTGACTATTGATTTGGTGGATTTCATGAGTAGGTGCCTGTAAGTATATAAAGGCCAACTCATTGAAATCGACCAAGCCGAGAACTGTTCCTGATGGTGGCGCAATTGCGTGACCGTCGTGACGTCATCAGAATAGGCGAGCAATCAATCAAATGTCCGATTCTTAAACGAAATATCAAAACAAGTATTTTCGAAAACAAAAACAAAACAACAAAAATTATATATCAAAACAAGTATTTTCTAAAAAATAAAAAATAAAATTGTAAATATATGAAAAAAAGGCGTACTCTGAAATTCACATACCTGACGTTATCTTTGAAACCTGGTATGATTATTGTCCCCCGCTTTCACCGAAACGGGGAATATTAATAAGGGTATGTCTGTCTGTCTGTCTGTCGGTCTGTCACGTTTCGTTTTCGTGCAATAACTACAACAAATGTTAAATGATTTTCTTTAAACTTGGTCACATGGTTAAATGCCCTAAGGGCTCGGCGTTGTTTGATGACCACTTACAGCGGACCCCATTTGGCGGAGTTATGGCCCATTGAATAACGAAAAACGTCATTATCTGCCGTTTCCGTGCAATAACTGCCAGTGTTCTATATGTTCGTGACTTTCATCTTATTGATCCCCCATTTTTATTTGAGATTTTTGCTTTTATTTTGCTTCTTTCTTTACTTTAATTTATCCCATCATTTTCCCAATATAAAGTATCGTATTAACTATCTGTGATATATATGAAATATGTGCTTGCTAAATCTGATATGTTTTTATATGTTTTATGCTTATGAGTTATGCTTATGTTATAATTAGTACTGTTCCTGCTTTTAACATGCATGTGCTATCATCAAACTGTTTTCTGATTGTTTTAGAAGTTCAGTGTAGATAGTTATGCTGCAAAATCCTACCTTTTCTACTAGCATGCCTTTTACCTTGTTATTACTCTGTTTTTATACTTATGTTTGTCGTAAAAATAGCTCCACGGAGCTAATGTTCAATGTTATGCCATATACGACACTAAATAAAGCTTCTTGTAACTTGTATCTTGTAATAAATGTTAATTGATTTTCTTTAAACCTGGTACAATGGTTAAATGCTTTAGGGGCTCAACCAACTTCGATGACCACTTTCCGAAGACTTTATTTGGCGGAGTTATGGCGCCTTGAATAACGAAAAACATTATCTGCTGCGTTTCTGTTCATTAACTCTCGCAAATATTATCCGATGGTCTTCAAACTTAGTAACAGGGTTCAACGCATTAAGGGCTCGGCCAAGTTTGACAACCACTTTTATCGGACTCCATTTGGCGGTGTCATTATCTGCAGTTTCTGCTTAATAACTCGAGCAAATATTAGATAAGGCTTTTTTTCCCTTCGAGTTTCAAGCTATACATTATGTCTAAACAGCACGACACTCACATGTTTAAACCTAATCTCAATAATGTTTACCTACAATATGTCCTGAAAGCGGGGGATATACATTCCACGAATTTGCTTATTTTAAATGGTTGCGTTATAGTCGACACTTCTGGTAGCCGGTAAGTGTTCCTATACACCTCCAAGTCTGTCTGCCAGGGGGAAGTCCCTTTTACCTGACTAATAACCCTTTTATTTTATAACGTTTGGACATATTTTTAATTACTCATTATATTATACTTGTCAGCTGTTTGGAGGAATGCGGAAGTGTTATCTGTACTTGCTATAACTGCACATGTTATGTATGTGTCTGTTGAAAGCACGCCAACCGTTTACCATCGTCTTGAGAGACACTGCGCGAGAATCAGACCCCTACTCAGACAGCCTGCTACTTATACATATGCTAGTCTTATGTTCAACATCTATCATCGTTGCAGGAAACGGAAATTACCGCAAACAAAGGTGTAACACTTGTCAACTCGAATCAGGTGGGACGGCCGCCAACTACCCTGAAGGCCGTCACTAGTTCCTCGCCCGCCAGCACCTCCGAGACACACACATTGGTACCCTTCGGTGCAAAGACGACGATAGCGACCACGAAAACAGCGACCACGACGCCAACGTCGGTAATCCCGTCTTCAACCATGGACAAAAATGGTAAGATAGGATTTGTGATCGTGGATGAGCCCCGGCCCTTCAATCAGGACTTCTCCCGTCTAGATCTAAATCCCTCCTCTCAGACGGTGTTAGGGGAGGCGTATACCAAACAACGCAAGTTCTACAGGCTCAATGACCGTCTGCTCGCCCAGGGGGAGGACATGCGTCAGGACGTCTGGCAGGCCAAAGGTCGGCCCGGGGAACTCCTTACCTACGAACAGCTTCTACAAGGTGATAACAGTCATACCATAACTGATACCACAACCACTAACACACCACAACCACTTATACTACAATCATTTATAACACCATTGGTCAGACAACCACTTATACTACAATCATGTATAACACCATTGATAACAAAACTATTCATGTAACAACTACAAACAACACAATCATTATAATCTACCAAAAACTATTATACCACAATTATACCACTTGATCACGCAAACATTGAACACACAACCGTTTATAACAAACTCGATAACAAAACCATTTAATCACAAATACAAACACCGTAACCACTGCTATCACAACCATTTATAACTCGACATCCCAGCCATTGATAACACATCTAGTGATAGCACAACCATTGATAACACAACTATTGATACATAACAATTGATAACATACCAATTAATAACACAACCATTGGTATCACAACCATTGATATCACAACTATTGATAACACAACCATTGATAACACAACTATTGATATCACAACCATTGATAACACAACCATTGATATAACAACTATTGATAACACAACTATTAATTTCACAACATTGATAACACAACCATTGATACATATCAATTGATATCACAACCATTGATAACACAACCATTGATAACACAACAATTGATATCACAACCACTGATAACACAACCATTGATAACACAACCATTGATATCACAACCATTGATAACACAACCATTGATAACACAACCATTGATATCACAACCATTGATAACACAACCATTGATAACACAACCATTTATAGCTCGACATCACAACCATTGATAACACAACTATTGATATCACAACCATTGATAACACAACCATTGATAACACAACCATTGATATCACAACCATTGATAACACAACCATTGATAACACAACCATTTACAGCTCGACATCCAAACCATTGATAACACAACTATTGATATCACAACCATGTATAGCTCGACATCCCAACCATTGATAACACAACCATTGATATCTCAACCATTGATAACACAACCATTGATATCACAACCATTTATATCACAAATACAAACACTGTAACCACTGCTATCACAACCATTGATAACACAACCATTGATATCAAAACCATTTATATCACAAATACAAACACTGTAACCACTGCTATCACAACCATTGATATCACAACCATTTATAGCTCGAAATCACAACCATTGGTAACAACTTTATTGATAACACAACTATTGATAACACAACTATTGATAACACAACTATTGATAACACAACCATTGATAACACAACCATTGATCACAGTACCATTGCTTACAAAACAACTGATTATGTAACAATTGATAACACAACCATTGATAGCACAACCATTGATAACACAACCATTGATAACACAACCATTGATAGCACAACCATTGATAACACAACAATTTATAACACAACCATTGATAACACAACCATTGATCACAGTACCATTGCTTACAAAACCACTGATTATGTAACAATTGATAACACAACCATTGATAGCACAACCATTGATAACACAACCATTGGTAGCACAACCATTGATAACACAACCATTGATAACACAACCATTGATAACACAACCATTGATGTCACAACCATTGATAACACAACTATTGACCGTTTGGTGTATCAACCGCTGTCGAAAAATTGAATGTTAAACAAAACTATTGATGATACAAACATATACAATATATAACACAAGTGATTTAACACTACCAGACAAATACAGGCATATCTCATTGGTTGATATAAATAGAAATACCCGCAAAATTACCTTTCTTGATCTATTCTTATTGCCGCTGCTATAAATAACCATTGACCTTTAACCTTTCTATATTTAAATTAGGGATGTTGGAGGAAGGAGAGGTGTTGGTCCTGGGAGGGGCGTGGCTGTACTTCACTCATCTTGACTTCCTGGACAAGGAGGGTAAGACCAAGGTCAAACCCTCCATAGGTAAGGGACGGATATGCCTCACTGACCGGAAGCTGCTCATATTATCAGCGGAAGTTAATGAAGGTATTGTATCAATAGTCTATTCGTTAGTCTGTTTCTCGATTATCCGGGAGGCTTGATTTCTGTCTGTATAATTCTAAGGAAGACGTCTGTAAAATTATAAAATACCAATACTATGAATCCACTTATAAAACAAACAGTACTCATTGTCCACGTTCTCTTTTTCTGTGGTCAAAATGGTCAGATGAATATATACGACGATACATCAATAGCCTAGGATTATATAAGAGTGAATAAAACACGGATTTAGCTCACACAAAAAAACAACACAAATCGTTCTTCTGTTTTCTTGACATAGTTGGAATCTTCAATATTCTAGCCGGATAAAGTCACAATCCCCTGCCTCGCACTTCATCTACTCAGACGCGCGAAAGGAAAAAAATCCTGAATTAAATATTTTTTTTGACTGCAACTGCACCGTATCTAAAACCACTGCAGTTTCTTATTCACAACATCAAGTCTCTTGAATCCGTATTTGATTCTTCATAGCATGAAGACGGACAGAGATTTCCGCTTGCACTTGTCTCGCATCAGGGAAAGTATGTGTTTACGTGTTGTTACATCAAATGGGATATTACGTTTGACACATGCGAAGGAAAAGCGTTTGGAATTTCCTGCCTATTGCAAAATCGCTTATTCGCGAAAACATAAAAGAAGCGTTTTAAGAATTCGAATTGAAAGTAATACATTTAAGATAATGAAATGTCGCGAGAAATGGATACTAGGCCATAATATCGCTATCTGAAGCCATAATATTGTAAAAACTCTTTTGTTTCATTCTCATTACGTCTAAGGATAAGGACAGCAGATACTGGTGAAGGCCACATTTTATTGAATTAATCCTAGGCGCTCTATTTAAAGCTATATAATGAGGATCCAAAAACGATACTTTTTATATAGCTTCACTTTTGAAAAGCAATACATTTGTGTAGCGTGTAGCGTAACCTGTGTATAGCTTTACCTTTGTATAGATTAACCTTTATAAACCAATACCTTTGTATTGCGTTACCTGTACATAGCTTTACCTGTGTTGAGCGTGACATTTGTAACGCAATACCAATCAATCAATCAATAAAATATTTGATTATAGTGTCACATGTTAATATACATAAATCAAATAAGTCAATATATTACAAATACAGGTAAAACTATATTAACATCCAGCCATTACTGGCTTATGAGACACTTAAAAAAAACACGATAATACACACTTTGAAATTAGTCGTGCAGTATAAAATAGCTACTAACGTTGCAATATATAATGATATAATGTACAAGTAAAATATTGTAACCAAAATAACAATATACGTACATTTAAGTGTTAAGACAGATTATAACCTATTTAATAAATAATAATAACCACTAAAATAGGTAGAATACCTTTGAATACCGTTACCTGTGCAAATCTTTACCTGTGTATAGCTTTATAAAGCAATACATTTAATACAGTTAATATTTAAATCTCACTAATGTTCATGGGTAGATTAATTATCCATGCCTTTTTCGGATAATGAAATACACATACTAAAAACATTCCACTTTGTATCTTTTTCGTTTCGATGAATATCGTTGCAGACCATCTTTTTTAAATACTCTCAACCAGAAACTTGTTTCCGAATATCCAGATTGTCCATGTTTCGTTGCATTTTAGTTGGTTCGATGACAACGTCACCTGGTGATCCCAGCAGGTATAAGGAAATAGTGTTAGCAATGTATTCAACTGCATGATCGTATGCGATGACTGATGTAGTGTCTCGTGCAGAATTGTTGTTTTTTCGTGTCTTCAGTTACAATACATTGATCAAAGTTGACGTGCTGCACCCATTTCCATCATTAGGTAATTTTCGGTCTTTGAGGCAAAATGCCAAACATAGGAACCGAATTACTATAACGGGGGTGGGGGGTGGGGGTGGGGAGGGATGAAGAGTACCTATACAACCCTATATAACGTTACATATATGTCACGAAAACCATGTTGTTTGATGTCGGAGAACCCTTGATAAGTTATTGATTAATCGCATCAAATTAAATTTATGTGTACAACTGTATATATGTGTAAAATTAAAAATGAAAATGCAAAGCGGTTGCCACGATACCGTCGGAGATTTAAAAAAACGAAAATGCCACCTTGTATTATTTCAGACGCTGCTCTGTCGGAGTTCGGAGACGGAAGTCCTGCCTCACAGAGCGGTTATAAGCTGGAATTATCCAAGTACAACAGGACCTTCTACCAGAACGTGCCATTAGGCTGTTTCCTAGGCGTGGAACTGTCGGCGAGCGTCGGAAGCTCCCTGGAGAGTCGCCTCACGGAACAGGAGCCACTGTGTGGCGGTCTGTGTTCGTGTCTGGGAGTAAGTTGTTTACAGGTACTTGCCCATAATATCACATCATACTGCAAATTTCTTATTTTTTGCGAGCTTCAAATTTTCCCGTTATCAGCCAGTAGGATCGATCGTGCATTTAAGTGTATATATACATGTATATAATTATCGGAAATATTTCCTTTGATGTAATGTATTATATAATATGTTCAAAACAAAATTGTCTGGTTGCAAAGGCTCTATAACCACGGATAATAATTGGTGAACCGCTTTGAGACGACCTAGGACCTAGGTTGTGATAAAGCGATATATAAGAACCTCGAATTTAGGTATGGCGTTTGTCAGTCGTTTCTTACATTTGGGAACAGAATTAACAAAGACCTATTGTCAAGGTAACTTGGGTCAAATTTAACACTCAAACGACTTCTTCTGAAGAAATTGGCCAGTAGCTTGTTTGCGTAAAGTGCTAAAATGTTGCGAACGGAAATGATATTTACTTATAGGTTACATGGGGACACATATTTCTGAAAAACCGAACGGCCAAAAGTCATGATATTTCGGCAGTAAGTTACCGACACAGGGTGCTACAAATTTTGAGAAAAAGAAATGATTAAATGATTTCTTAATAAGGTCACAGGGGTCAGATTGGTTAAAAAAAACCTTCTAAAGAACCAAAACCCCTTGAATTATGATATTCAAATACTTAGAAGCTAGATTATCCCATTATCAGGTTCCATTATCATTGAGTTAAACCTGTTTTAAGGACATTTCATTTCTTATCTATGTGTCGGTTTTTTTATACCACAGAAATTCTGGGATTTCTCGTATAAATCTAGATTTATATCTAATTCTGATTGGCTACTGGCTTTTTTTTTTATTAAAATAATGCAGGGACATATTCACCGAACATCATCAAAAAGCGGAATTATTCGCCAGATCGGCTTCATTGTGTGTACCGACATGACTGTAGGACTATGTATTTGTATTGTCATTGCAATGTAATTGACGCGTGCTTGGCAATAAGACCGAACATTTGGCGCAAGTTGCTGTTGTTAATCGAAACTTTATCACTGGTTGCGAGATGAAAACCATAAACATCGTTTGAAAGTCGGTCTCTATCTTACACGGAGGCTCAGTCTTCCACACTTCTCTCTTATTTACATAAAACATGCAAATAAAAACTTGAAACTGCTTATAAGCGACAGGGGCAGTAGTTTGTGTCGGAGTAGGATCAATAGATACGCCATAGACCGAACTAAGTCCTGACATTGATAGTTAAAGAACCCACAATTCCCAGATGTGTCGCATCATTACGTGTTTAAAACACTGTTTAATACCACATATTATGTGGTAAATGCGGTCTATACAGTCGTCTTCTTTCTGTTGTTGTATGACAGACACCGATAATGATAGTCGGTAGTGCCAAGTAATGTATATTTCAGTGGAGAACACCTGTAGGTTTAGGGTTATAGATCTACCTTTAACACGAACTATCGAGGTTGGTTGTTGCACCTCATTATCATTCCTATACTGTGTATTATAATATGGCTACAGTATTTCGTGGTACGAGACAAGCCTAGTTGCACCTCATTATTATTCCTATACTGTGTATTATAATATGGCTACAGTATTTCGTGGTACGAGACAAGCCTTGTTGTACCTCATTATCATTCATATACTGTGTATTCTAATATGGCTACAGTATTTTGTGGTACGATACAAGCCTTGTTTCACCTCATTATCATTCTTATACTGTGTATTATAATATGGCTACAGTATTTCGTGGTACGAGACAAGCCTTGTTGTACCTCATTATCATTCATATGCTGTGTATTATAATATAACTACAGTATTTCGTGGTACGAGACAAGCCTAGTTGCATCACATTATTATTCCTATACTGTGTATTATAATATGACTACAGTATTTCGTGGTACGAGACAAGCCTAGTTGCACCTCATTATCATTCTTATACTGTGTATTATTATATGGCTACAGTATTTCGTGGTACGAGACAAGCCTTGTTGCACCTCATTATCATTCATATACTGTGTATTATAATTAATATGACTACAGTATTTCGTGGTACGAGACAAGCCTTGTTGTACCTCATTATCACTCAATGGAGAATGAAGTGAGCGTCACTCCTGAAATCTGAGGATGAGGAAATCTAAGATATGTTCTCAGAGTAAAATAAAATGTAAAACCAGAGACAGAACATATTCATGGATATTAAAACATTCGATGTATGCCATTCAAAGTCTTTGGTTGCTGTTCAACAGGCAAGGATACAATTCGTTCAATATAAAGAAATAATTTGTTTGTATTGTTTTTTTGGGGTTTCTTTTCAGATTGCCCGGTGTTCTACAACATGGAGGTCCTCACGACCGATGCCAGTTCCGGTCAACACTCGCACAATTCGTATGGGGATCAGTATGCCACCCTGGCACACAGAGACAAACGTGGTCGTGTACATTCACCCGGAAATGCCACTTACGGCCGCCAGGGACTTTGTGGCGCAAATTCACCACCACGCGCCTTTGTTACACTAACAAAGGTCAGGGCCATCCCAGTGGAAATAACGACTGAGCCAGTAGATGCTATGCTCCGTAATTCATGGTTAATGCGAGAGCCAAAATTCAACACAATGATGAATGGCTGTTTGATGATTTAACAACAATGCAATGTACCGGAAGTGACAAGTTTCATTACTTGTATGGTGAAAAATGTACTGGAAAGTATAGCGCCGCCTGTGGGTGGGTACCCTGCCTTTTATTGTTCTCGATAACACGTGGTCCTTTTTGTCGGGTCATCTCGATGATGACACATGCTTGATGGAATGAGCGTTATTTCATAACATGCATCATTTGCAATTCATTTGATGAAATCGGGATGAAGCGCTTTTCCGACTGAAGATGTGAAATGTGATTTACATATGTCCACGTGTCTCTGTTGGAAGTCGAACACGGAACTACGGATATACCCGAATCACATCCCGGTACGGATATACCCGAATCACATCCCGGTACGGATATACCCGAATCACATCCGGGTTGTCGTTGGGATGTACAGTGATTTAAAAAGAAAATAACCCCATTTCGTTATTCACTTCTTGAAAAGTGAAACGCGTACTGAAAGGTATATCGCCGTCTATTGGTAGGTACACTGGCTGTTATTGTTCTCGATAATAATCTTGCACCGATTTTCAAAGATTGAGTGTTCAAGGAAGATATTTACTGGCAAAGATTCCCAACGCATAAGCCAGTTGCATAGTATTTAATGATATGTATCATGATGACGTCACAATTACACACACGTCATAACGGGGTATTTTTTACGTAGGGTTATATAATGTTATATGATAAACCTGATTGTTCATCACAAAGTATTAATTTATTGCAAAGACCACGGACGCTTGTGTCACACATTGCGATACGGTATAATTTTCTTTGGTAAACACATTTATAAGATATAATTTACATAAATATTATATTCTGACTCTGCCTTATGTTCGAATGACGTCATTGTTCGAATTACGTCATTGATCTTAACTTCTTATATATTTATTAAGATGTGTGTTATTGTGCAACTTAACATAGATCTGTATGTCAGCGATGCTAGTCATGATTGTGCTATTATTTTAGAAGCAATATTACATATAAGCTGTGTGCGCGCTGTTAGTTATGAATGTGTTTGATTTATATTGTTTTAGTACATGCTATGGAGTTTTATTTCCTATTTCTAACAATAGTATTTGCTGTGGATAGTGACTTTAGAAGATATCGTACAAGATTAAATTTTCATCCACATCTAATATGGAATCTGACAATCAAAATGAGCTCTTTTATTTACCACAAATCGTTCAGTGTATCGCTATCATACACGGTAACCTGTTAGTATCTCTACCCGTAAATCCTCAAATCAACATACCTCCTGGAAGGAACGAATACATGCTGCTTGCAAAATCTTGAATGAATTTCATATCACTATATCAGGATTTTCATTAAACCATTGAGAGTAGGTTTTGACTTTCCAAAATGAGCTTAGAATCTTAGCTTTGAAAGTATATGTCCATCTGACAATCCAAATTTTAGTGAAAAATTTACAGTTAAACCTGTTTTAGGAAAACACCCCTGGGAAGCCAAACAATTATGTCTTAATGCAAGTATCAAGCTTATTCTAGAATGAACTACTAGTACTTAACTACTCGTTTATATTGTATTTCTTCCCCAGGAACCTTTGTAAACATGTAATGCACTTATGTGACTGACGAAATAAAAAATGTCAAAGACAAAAAAAATTATGTCTTTATACAGATGGTCTCTGAATACAGGTGGTCTCTGAATACATGTCGTCTCTGAATACAGATGGTCTCTGAATACAGATGGTCTCTGAATGCAGATGGTCTCTGAATACAGATGGTCTCTGAATACATGTCGTCTCTTTATACAGGTGGTCTCTTTATACAGGTGGTCTCTGAATACAGATGGTCTCTGAATACAGGTGGTCTCTGAATACATGTCGTCTCTGAATACAGATGGTCTCTGAATGCAGGTGGTCTCTTTATATCGGTGGTCTCTGAACACAGGTGGTCTCTGAACACAGGTGGTCTCTGAACACAGGTGGTCTCTGAACACAGGTGGTCTCTGAATGCAGGTGGTCTCTGAATATATATGGTATCTGAATACATGTGGTCTCTTTACACAGGTGGTCTCTGAACACAGGTGGTCTCTTTATAAGTTTTAAGGATACGCTGAGATTGCTGTTACATGATTAAGAAGCGTTTGTTAATTATATACCACACAGCATTGTCACACGGCACCTCCTTCCACAGGAACCCAAGAATTTGTTACAACTGATGTGTTCAGAGTAATATTCAACAATAATGGACTTCATCTCGGTTAATATATCGTCTCAGGTCTATATAACAACACATTAATCAAAATAAAAAGTCCTTAATTGTTAGAATACACATGATTTATGATAATTATTAAAAAAGATTGAACGTAATAAAATCATCAAGAGACAGAGCGCATGGTGTTGTTATACAAATGAAGCGACCTCAGAAAGGGAATATTTACTTTCTGTTTCTTAAAATAGTAATTCCAAGTCAGTATCACATATCACCGACCTCCACGTGGGAACAAGTTGTTGTGGTCCTATATGAGACAATTTAGGGGTTTAGATTAACTCTTGGCAAAAATGCCAACCTATAGTTTCTTATATACCATATTGGTTGGAGGAGGGGAAGGGGTGGGGCTCTTTCCGAGAGTTGCTCTAGAGCCCCTAAAACGTCTTATTACTTTGAACATATCAGTTAAGGTACAAACATAGATGATGTAACAAGTGTTTTGGTCCCTGTGTTCATGTCCCCTACAACTGATTCAGTGGTCACATTCTGAACATATGAACATCCGGGTATTGTCTGAAAGGTCACCAGAACATGACCCCTGACAAAGTGAATTCGGTTTTGATAAGATTCTTATGTAGGGAATGTGTACGTTGAGCGCCGTTTTGGTATTTAATTATGTTTTGTGATATCACATATTGAAGTTGATGATGTCAATATATGATAACAGGCAGAAATAATGATAACGACATAAAACGTTTATGTTCAAAACATATTAAAAGATGAAAACATAGTATTACGTATTTTAATTACTGATGTCACAAAACGGTATCAAAAACCAAAGCATTGATGAAACCAAGTCTTTTAGAAAAATAACTACACAACATTAACATGTAGCGCATACTTTGCATCTTTTCTTGGACATAATTTCAGCTTTAAAATTCGAAAGGTAGACCTTTTTGTAGCAAATGGGCTTTTTGAAATTTATGTTCCACTACTAAGTTGAAAATAAGAAAAGGTAATTTTATTTTGAACTGATTTATTTAAAGGACAACATCTTAAGTTGGAATGTAGAATATATACCCTTACTAATTTACGTGTATCATTTAAACTTGTCTGCTATAGAGACACGGCTAACGATAGGGTGGTGCCCTATTGTTTAGCAAATCATGTTATCTGTCCCTTTTAATGAAACAAGCATCTTGTTTTATTCACACTTTGTCGGGATATTTAGTCCGTATTGTTTTTAAGTTGCCAGTCCTAGCTACAATACATGCAAGTCCTTCATAACTATATTGTTATTTTAGTAAACAGAATTCTCGAGTAAAATGTTTTCATTGTGTACAAATAGAATTGATGAAAACAATCCTTTGATACATGTGTCCATTTACTTAACATAGGGCCGGATACCGTATTTTTGTATAATGTAATTCTTATAGGCTATGCAACTTTAAAGATAAGGGTTTATCAACCCTGCCGATTTGTGTATATTCATGTCAACTTTGGTCATTATTGCATTGAATCATTAACTCATTCACCCTTGAAATTTCATAATGAACTATTCCAACATTTAAATTGGAAGAGTTCAAATGTGTCTTCAGGGGTGAATGAGTTAAAGTTTCAGTGACACTCGTACTCTTTACTTATCTGCTAAGGTCGAAGAATGCTTATGTATTAATTCCCGCTTATTTCAGATTTTTTTGACATTTACTATCTTCATTTACTTTTCATGTTGTTATTAATTAAAATGTCTGAATAAAAGACCAAAGAACTATACTTATGTTGATGTTTTTCCGTTTTTTTTTCTAATTTAAAAATCCTATCTCGATTAATTAAAAGCCGTGACAGGACCATGCTATTTTAATGCGTGGTTACAGGACGACTGTTGACCTGAGCCTGAGCTAGGTGTACAAGAAATACATAAATTAAGAACCGTGGAACCTTGTACATTTGTAGTTAACAAAATGGAACTATATACATCATTTTAATATCTTCAGCAGCATTTGCAATAATATATACAGCCGTAAATATTGAACATTTTATCATGCATTGTATCTTGACCATATGTAAGACGAGCTTCATGAAGTGGTATATCATAGCTCTGAGTGTGGTACTTTATAGCTCTGAGTGTGGTATATTATAGCTCTGAGTGTGGTTTATTATAGCTCTGAGTGTGATATATCATAGCTCTAAGTGTGGTACTTTAAAGCTCTGAGTGTGGTAGATTATATAGCTCTGAGTGTGGTATATCATAGCTCTGAGTGTGGTACTTTAAAGCTCTGAGTGTGGTAGATTATATAGCTCTGAGTGTGGTATATCATAGCTCTGAGTGTGGTACTTTAAAGCTCTGAGTGTGGTAGATTATATAGCTCTGAGTGTGGTATATCATAGCTCTGAGTGTGGTACTTTATAGCCCTGAGTGTGGTAGATTATATAGCTCTGAGTGTGGTATATCATAGCTCTGAGTGTGGTACTTTAAAGCTCTGAGTGTGGTAGATTATATAGCTCTGAGTGTGGTATATCATAGCTCTGAGTGTGGTACTTTATAGCCCTGAGTGTGGTATATTATAGCTCTGAGTGTGATATATCATAGCTCTAAGTGTGGTACTTTAAAGCTCTGAGTGTGGTAGATTATATAGCTCTGAGTGTGGTATATCATAGCTCTGAGTGTGGTATATCATAGCTCTGAGTGTGGTATATTATAGCTCTGAGTGTGGTATATCATAGCTCTGAGTGTGGTATATCATAGCTCTAAGTGTCATATATCATAGCTCTAAGTGTGATATATCATAGCTCTAAGTGTGATATATTTTAGCTCTGAGTGTGGTATATTTTAGCTCTGAGTGTGATATATTTTAGCTCTGAGTGTGGTATATTTTAGCTCTGAGTGTGGTATATGATAGCTAAATGATGGTATATTATAACTCTGAGTGTGGTATATTATAGCTCTGAGTGTGGTATATTATAGCTCTGAGTGTGGTATATTATAGCTCTAAGTGTGGTATATTNGTGTGGTATATGATAGCTAAATGATGGTATATTATAACTCTGAGTGTGGTATATCATAGCTCTGAGTGTGGTATATTATAGCTCTGAGTGTGGTATATTATAGCTCTAAGTGTGGTATATTATAGCTAGTATAGTTAGGTAGTATACAACCTCAACTAACACACAATTGACAGGTATAATGTGTTAGGTAGCATACAACCTCAACTACCGCACAATTGACAGGTATAATGTGTAAGGTAGAATAAAACCTCAACTACCACACAATTGACAGGAATAATGTGAAAGATAGCATACAACCTCAACTACCACACAATTGACAGGTATAATGTGTAAGGTAGCATAAAACTTCAACTAACACACAATTGACAGGTATAATGTGTAAGGTAGCATAAAACCTCAACTACCACACAATTGACAGGTATAATGTGAAAGATAGCATACAACCTCAACTACCACACAATTGACATGTATAATGTGAAAGATAGCATAAAACCTCAACTACCACACAATTGATAGGTATAATGTGTAAGGTAGCATACAAACTCAACTACCACACAATTGACAGGTACCATGTGTAAGGTAGCATACAGCCTAAACTACCACACATTTGACAGGTATAATGTGTAAGGTAGCATACCGCCTTAACTACCACACAATTGACAGATATAAGGTGTACGGTCACATACAACCTCAACTAACACACAATTGACAGGTAGAATGAGTAAGGTAGCATACCGCCTTAACTACCACACAATTGACAGGTATAATATGTTAGGTAGCATACAGCCTCAACTACCACACAATTGACAGGTAGAATGAGTAAGGTAGCATACCGCCTTAACTACCACACCATTGACAGGTATAATATGTTAGGTAGCATACAACCTTAACTACCACACAATTGACAGGTATAATGTGTAAGGTAGCTTACAACCTAAACTAACACACAATTGATAGGTATAATGTGTAAGGTAGCATACAACCTCAACTACCACACAATCCACAGGTATAATGTGTAAGGTAGCATACAGCCTTAACTACCACACAATTGACAGGTATAATATGTTAGGTAGCATACAACCTCAACTACCACACAATTGACAGGTATAATGTGATAGGTAGCATACAACCTCAACTACCACACAATCGACAGGTATAATGTGTAAGGTAGCATACAGCCTTAACTACCACACAATTGACAGGCATAATGTGTAAGGTAGCATACAACCTCAACTGCCACACAATTGACAGGTATAATGTGATAGGTAGCACACAACCTCAACTACCACACAATCGACAGGCATAATGTGTAAGGTAGCATACAACCTCAACTACCACACAATTGATAGGTATAATGTGTAAGGTAGCATACAGCCTCAACTAACACACAATTGACAGGTATAATGTGAAAGATAGCATACAACCTCAACTAACACACAATTGACAGGTATAATGTGTAAGGTAGCATACAACCTAAACTAACACACAATTGACAGGTTTAATGTGTAAGGTAGCATACAACCTCAACTACCACACAATTGACACGTATAATGTGTAAGGTAGCATACAACCTAAACTAACACACAATTGACAGGTTTAATGTGTAAGGAAGCATAAAACCTCAACTACCACACAATTGACAGGTATAAAGTGTAAGGTAGCATACAACCTCAACTACCACACAACTGATAGGTAGAATGTGTAAGGTAGCATACAGCCTTAACTAACACACAATTGATAGGTATAATGTGTAAGATAG